AAATCCTGTCCTACTATTTCTTCTGGCTGTTTGATGCTCAAAAGTTTCAAGTCCAAGTCTTCGCAATATTGCTTCCCAGTTTTATAATCATATTTGGGCCTATAAAATACATAGCAAAATGCTGTTTCCGGTATGCAGTCCAGCCCTGCAAAACATATACAGAAAGTAATCCTTGCACTAACAGTACCACAATGCGTTTCGCCCCTTGTTAAATGACATCATCAGATTATAGTTACGGTGGGCAACTCGGATAGCTTCCTCTACATTATAGGCCGCCGCGAGGGCGACAAGTGCGATAAAGCAGCAGGATGCCCTCATCACAGAAATTCGGTGCTAGTGTCCAGTCGAGTGTGGCACGTGTAATGGTTGAATTCGAAAGAAGTAGATCGATAATTATGGGCAGGCGCACCAGGCGGAGGTGAGATTTGGTGGTATAGGCGACAGAATTAAATGCAGTCATGGTGGCAGAGGGGAGGGGCACGGGGTCTACAATAATAACCCCCATTTTAGTGTATGGGTTGTCCTACGACGAGAATGACAGGCAATTACATAGTCAACCCAGGCTATAGAGCTGTTCTCTCAGTACATCCATGTGTGCGACAAATAGTGGAAATTGGCAACCGTCTCGGACAACGCAGTAACCCAATTTTGGAACAGCAATATATACAGGATGTGTAGAATTGGAGTTGGCATGTAATGTGGGAGAAATGTTGGAGTTGGATACGGTGGCAGTTTGAGATAGCGGACAGAAAGGGGGAAAAGGGAATATTCTGGACGGCGGGGGAGAGGGTTGGGGTGGGGTGGTAGGTAGGGGACCAGATGGTTTGTCCGGCAAAATGTCTGGGAAAGCAGCTATGAGGTGGTCCACCCTGACGACTGCTGCAGTCGGTGCAGGATATTGGTAGGATCCTTGACCGCGCTTTAAGGGGATGGCGAGACCGTCTCACCTGGAAGTCGGACAGTGGCACCGAAGACCATTTCAGCCGCGGCGAACAGTCAAGGTCCGACTTGAGAGAGGGACGGATGTCCAACAGGATGAAGGAGATGTGGTTCGTCCAATTCTCCGGATCGTTCTCTACGCGTAGAGATGTCCACAGCTGCCGTTGAAACCGCTCGACCATCCCGTTAGAAGCCAGATGACGGACTGTTGTGCGAATACAAGTAAAACCTAAAAAGGAGAGCAGAGTCTGGGAGAGATAAGACTGAAATTGGGCACCACGGTCAATCGTGGTAGGTCAGGCGAAGAAGCTCGGCCCAAAAATCGCTAAAGTTAATGCTTGGAAGAAGGGGGCGGGGATTTATGAATGACAACAAACTTCGAAGGAAGAGGATAAATGCCGTTGGTGTCAATCATGTGGCCAAGGGACTCGAGAGAGAGAACGCCGAAAATGGTTAAGAAAAAAGCCAAATTGTTGAGGGCGGCCAAACACCTTTGCAGTGTGCTCCATGTAATCGGCGGTGATGTAACTGGCAACCAAAACACCATTAAAGTAGTCATGGACGAAAGGAATTCTGAGGAGTGTATCGCAGGGGGTTAAGCGAGTTAAACCCTGTAACTGCAATCTTCAGACCATGGTTACTTAGTAGAGGAGGAGTCGGTTAAGGCCGGAGTAGTGGGAAGAGTATATTTTGTACACAAGGGAAAGGAGAATAGATAAAGGAAGTCTGACTTGGGAGAACACATCCGCTCAAGAGGTTGACCGTGTCCCATGTCTGTTTGAGAGCAGTCAGGCCACTAGACAGGGAGAGAGCGCGTTCATTGGCTAGGTCGGTCTGTGCTTGGTTGGATGGCATGTTGTTTGACACCGTTGTTGGACAGCGCGTGGGTGGTCCACGTCACGCGCGCTAGTAAGTCTGGCGACTGCAACGACCTT